CCCCCATCCCCCCCGCTCTGTGTCTCTCTCTCTCTCTCTCTCTCTCTCTCTCTCTCTCTCTCTCTCTCTCTCTCTCTCACATACACACACACATACACACACGCACACGCACACACACACCTGTGCTTCTGCAGCAGGGCCACCAAGATGCTTTCCAGTGCTGTCCGCTTTTGGTCTGCCCACATGCTGTCTGCCTGCCGGCTGAGCCGTGCCCTTAATCCTGGCTCCTGGTTCCTCTCTCTATGGGTTAGAAACAGAAAAGAGAAACAATGAGTTTGCTGTTGGGCAGATGTACAGTTAGGGGTGTGTTTCTTCACTACCCCAGGACCTGATGTGATGTGGACTCTTCCACCCAACACACTCACATCCAGTGTCATTGAGGGATGCATACCTATGATCGTGAAAACCACAGCATGTACATTTACACAATTGCAGAAATGTCCTCTAAAATTGCTCATGAAACCAGGCATAGTGAGTGATATGTGTCTATAATCCCAGCACTTGGGAGGTAGAGGCAGGAGGATCAGAAGGTGAAGGTCAGTCTTAGCTAAATGATGAGTTTGAGGTCAGTCCAGACTCCCTGAGACCCTGTCTGTAAATAAATAAGTAAATAAATAAATAGAAATGGCTCGCCATCATATTAAATGTGTATGTGTTCAGGTGTGTACGTGTACACATCTCTCTGTGGCCCTTGGTGTAGAGTAGAATGATAAAATGCTAGGGACTGTACTGTAACCATTTTATGTTTGAAGGTTTTTCAAAATAAACACTGTCACAAAGTCAGCTGTTTGAATCTTTGCTTGACATCCTTGTGCATCCTTTAGAGATGACATGTGGGTCTGTGCAGTGGGGTAATGACAGAAGGGCCCAAAGAGCCTAGAAGAGACTAATAGCGGCCAGCCCTGGCACAAGTTTCCAGTGTGCACAGTACAGTGCTCTCTGTATGTACAGTCTTTGTTTCTGGCCTAGAGTCTCAATGAAATGGGAATTGCAACCATCAGTATTCTTACTGCTGGAGCAGTAAGGATAGGGATAGGGAGAGGCACATAGTAGATGTGCACACAGTAAGTGGAGGCTTGATCTGTGGTGCTTCTGCTGTGCAAAGTACAGAAATTATAACTACTGTGTCAGGGAAGAGACCCCACCTTCTGGATCAGGCCTTCCCAACTCTGATACAGAGGTGAGTGAGAAGAAGCTTCTGGAACATATGCTTACCCCTGCTGCCTGCTTATGATGTCCTGCAGCAGCTTGCGGGCAGACAGCTGGCCCAGCACCTTCCGGTAGCTGTTGCTGAAGATGGCGTCTGCATAGCGCCGCATCCTGCGGAAAGGAGTCAAGGTCAGGGTAGGGCCAAGTGAACAGCAGGGACCACACTAACTACATCTTAGCACTGTCCTTCTGTTGTCCTGTGTCTTCCTCATCCCCAGAGAGACTCAGCCTGGCTGAGTGACTTCTGGGGCTCAGTGACAAGTCCCTGCCTGAAATGAGCAGTGTACACTGTGAAGAAGTAGCCAGGTAGCAGCTGGTGGCTCAAGTCCCCATCCTATACCTCCTCTCTGCCCGTGACAGGGAGGGCTCAATGGTGCAGGAATCCGCACTACTTACCTGAGGGGCAGCAAGGGGGGCGGGGAGCAGTGGGAAGCACTGCTGAGGGTGAGGATCACCAAGAACACCCAGAGTGGCATCCTTCACCCCTGGGTGGTACCTGGAAAAGAGCGGGAGGGCGTAGTCAGACGTAGCCTCAGGGTGCTCGCTCTTTGACTGCTGGGCCCAAGCCCTGGGCTTGGCTTTACGACAAGCCCTGGTCCTCATTCTTTGGAAGCTGTGTGGTAGAAAAAAGAGCCTAGGCTTTGGAAGTCAGACATACTCAGGTTCAAGTTCCACATTTGCCAGTCCCCAGCTTTGACTTCCCAGTCTGTAAAAGGGTATGACGAAGCCACACTGGCCTCCTCCCTGGGCCGAACAGAAAACTAGTGAATGTAATGAAACTAGGTAAATCCACCTCAGCGAGAGACAGGGAGGAGACAGCATCTCCCTCTAGTTCCAGCCCTAAGTTGCTCCCATCCACCGACAGTAGGGAGCAGAAAGTGCCATATCTCAGTCAAATGTGACCTCAAATCCTGATACGGGAGGCGGGGGGCTGGAGAAATGGCTCAGAGGTCAAGAGCACTTACTGCTCTTGTAGAGGACCTGACTTCAGTTCCCAGAACCCATATCAGGTGGGTTACAACTACCTCAGCTCCAGCTCCTCTTCTGGACTCCACAGGCATCTGCGTATACCCCTCCACACACATAGACATAATTAAGAAATAAAATGTGAAAACATATTTTTTAAAATCTTGGTATGTGCACCCAGGACAAGTAGCTCAACTTCTCTGAGCCTCAGCTTCCCTGGTCATAAAATGGAGATAATAACCATCTCCCACATGAGTATCATGTGAGAAGCGGTACCTGAGGGAGTAGGATAGCACATAAGGAACACTTTAGAAACCTTTCCTGTGGTCCCCTAATTCTCTCTGAGGGTCAATTCATACTGCTTTATTGTGTGTGGCACTGGAGGGAAGCAAGAACAATTGTAAATCTGTTCCAGAAGCTTACATTTTGCAGGTTGGGGTGGGGTGGGGATGGCTTGAGAGAGGGTTTTGAAATGCAGCTGAGGCTGGCCTGAAATTTACTATGTTGCCCAGGCTGGCTTCTAACTCTTAATCCCTCCTGCCTCAGCTTCCCAAGTGCTGGGACTACAGGCATGTACCTCCATAGCTGGCAGAAAACTCAGATTTCACTGAGGAGTTTTACTTCTGAAAGAGAGAGACTAGAGGGTGGAGGGGCACTGAGTGTGGCAGAATCACATAGACTATGTAATTACCCTTAATTGGGGCCTGTTAACACCATGCTCTGCAATTAAGAGAAGAGCAGCCTCAGCTCAGGAAGGTATACCTTGTCAGCGGAAGCCTGCCCTGGTATGGAGCTGCCGGCCGCCTAGGAGCTTGGACGCTTTTCTCTTCCATGCACCTCTCTCTTTCAGCAGGGTATCTGCTCTCGGGCACCTGACTGGTTCCAAAGAGGGCAGCATCCCTCCATCCCCATGATGCCCCATGGGCTCCACTTCCTCCTTCCCCCTAATCCCACTGAGGGCTGATTCTGCAGGCAGGGCCAGTACTGGTCCAACCCACCATACTTGGGTTCACTTGTCCTCTCAGGGCATTGGGCCCCTGCAGACTCTACTCTCCTCTAACCCAGGAGTGCCTTGGCCCCCAGGGAACATCCATGGGAGCTATTCACTGCAGCCAGAGAGCACCATGCCTCCTGGGGTAGATGGAGCTGCTATCCAGGCATCGGTGGTCAGCCTTTGTAGATGTGTGCCCCCTACCCCCCAGGAAGTCCCCTAGTTCCTTCTGCAGGAGCATTTGTTACTACTGAGCAGCGGGGAGCTCACTACCTCCAAGCCAGCTCATTTCCAGGCCTTTCTGATTGCTTATTTGCATACGCCATACCAAGAGCTTCTTATCCTGCTGATACAGCCATGTACCAAATCACTACATTTTGCTCCACAACTGGCCACATATATGGCAGTGGTCCCAAATTATGCAGCATTCAAGAGGAAGGTCCAAGTGGGCAAGGCAGTGAGAAGAATATAGCCATTTTAGGTTGTACAGCTCATTCTGTGTTACTCACACAATGATGGCCTTGCCCAGTTAATGACAACCATTGCAAAGCCATGCACCACTACACTTGTTAAGCCTCTACAGTTCTGGTAAGGACTGGGGCTACAGAAAACAAGAGTTCTACTGCTTTCTGTCCACCCAGAGCAACTGCACGAGCACACCGAGCACACCGTGCCAGGCCTTTCAGGAACATTTGCATCTAACTTGGGCCTTGCTCCCGGTTCAAGGATCTGCATCTTCTTCCTCACACCACATCACACTCACTAAGGGCCACTCCTTTCCCAGCTGGGCTAGGCCTCGCCACTGAGGTGTCCTGTCTCCCCACAACACCCTGGTTTCTCACCTTTTTTGTGTTCCATTCTCCAGGCCCATAATTTTCTAACTCCCCTACTCAGAAGCCCTTAGCTCTCTAATTCCTCTGGCATGAAGCCTGGGTCTCTCCTCTTGGCCTCCACTCTCCTCTGCCTTTCTTCCTGCCCTGCTCCCTAGAGCTCATGCAAGTGATTCCAGTCCAGCCCCATGACCTGTCCTGCCTATCTCTCTCACCCACACTGTTCAGAGCAGGCACTGCTATCTTCATTTCACAGCCAAGGCCAGGAACCCACAGAGGAGGAAGGGCCTTTTTCCATGGTCCTCCATCAAAATAGCTTCAGAGTGGCCCCTACTTCTCAGGCCAGCAGATTGCCTGCCTCCTGCTCACGAGGCAGCTTCTCAGACACAATACACTATTCACAGCCCTTGCTATTCATAGGGCCTTCAGAATTTGTCACCTGCACATGGGAAAGAGTTCTGAAAAAATGGAAAGCTTTTGTGCTTTGTCCTGGGGCCTCCCAAGAAGTCAATAGGGGAACAAACAGGAACACCTGCTTGATTGGCACCTCCTTCTACATGCCCAGTGATGTTGAGTAGTTGAAAATAACCTCATTAGAGGTCAGACTTTGGGAGAACAGTCATAGCAAGCAGAGTAATGCCCAGCTCCTTCCTAAGGAGGCCCAGTCACTGCACAGTCCAGTCAAGCAGGAGTCTCGACACTGGCCTTTTGCCCCAGGGGTTGGTCCAGGCCCCATAGCAAGCCCAGGGCTGTGTAAACCTAATCCGTGTGGTTACCCAATTCCACTGGACAAAGACCAGCAGAACAAGAATTATCCAGCCTTCAGCAAGACAGGAACAGAGGTTGTATTCTCAAGGATAAAATAGGTGTTGACAGGCAAGGCTTACATGGCAATCCTGAAATCCACTGTCTCCCAGACCTAGTCACCTCACTGATACCTTTTTGAAGACACATTGAGTACCAGCTTTTGGCAGGGCTAATTCAGAGATTAGATATAGATGGGGTCTCATATAGGGAGAAAGGGGTCCTCGAGCCTCACCATTTGACCCCTTTTGTCACCCACCTGCCACAGGCATCTTGAGAATTCTGTAGATGCAATTTTGTAGTTAATGACAGAGGAGGTCATGTCTTAAGAACCCACATGATTGAGAGTACTAGAAAACCTTGAGGGGAAGTCTTTTACCTTTGTTACCTTTGTTACTTGATCTACTTTGTAACTCAGAACCTCAAAGTACTGAGATTCTAGTCCAGTGCCGAAACCGTTCCACCAAGAGTGTTCCAAGTCCAAAGAAATCTAAGTTTGTATGTTTTTATAGTGCTGGAGATGGAACCCAGGGCCTTAAATGTCCTACCACTGAACTATACTCCCCACACCCCAGATGTAAGTTTTCAGTGAGCAAGCATGTTCAAAAGAAGGATTTGAGGTAGTTTGTGATGAAAAAATTAAACATTTCAGGATTATTCAAGCAAGGAGCAGGGGCCAGGCATGGGGTAATGAAAGCCTCCAAAAACCAATAATTGTGACTAAAAATTAGAGCAAAGAACATGACTGTAATTGAGGGAGAAAGCAAAATGTTATCAATTTCCAGGCAATTACACTGAAACTGTTCTGGGTGATCAATAAACTCTATTGATCTACATAGCCACTGGAGTCCTTTCCCATGCACTGCTGAGTCCTGTCATTGACAGGAGAATCGAGCTAGCTCACATTTCTCCCCAGAAGCCTACCCAACACTCTACAAGGAGCCCCCCTCCCGACCTCCCTCATCTCTTACCAAGTCCTGCAACACATTTTTCTGCTGCTTCTTCGTGTGTCCATGTGCCATGGTTTCAACCACAGTCCCCAAATGGCACCAACCACCAAAAGCATATTCCAGAGTCTTAGGGAGGGCTCATCGCAACCAAAGTGGGTACCACATGCCCGCATCAGTCCATGGATACGGAAGTTGGCCAAGGGCCATTTGACTTGGTATCTGTTAGCTGATGAGATGTCAACTTTTCTTGCCCCATCCAGCTCAGCCCCCCAGGACCTCCCCTTCTCACCTCCGATGTGATAGGTGTCCGTCTGCGGCAAGGCGCTGCTCTGGTTCCCTGGACCTCAGACTGGGTGTCTGCTCCGGCAGCTGCGTGGCGCTCCATTTATACCTTCATTTTCCTAAGCGATGTCAGCGTCAGAGAGTCAATTACGTACCAGTCAACCTGAGCACCATTTTTAGCACCACACAGACCAACTCTAATAGGGAAAAGTGGTTTTGCTCCCTCACAAATTAAGACTCATACCGAACTTTCCCTTTATCTTTGAGTCAGTCAACAAAGTACAAAGTTGTACAATTATTCCGAGAAAAATGAAGACTAGTACTTCCAATTCCGTATCTGGAATATTCGTATCACCGGAATACCATGGCTTTGTTCATCCTCTGAGATAGATGTGCTTTTTCAAGTTCATGTAATTCTGTTTTGTCTGAGTATAACTTTGTCTTATTTGGGGGCAGGGCAGACAACATTACCAATAAGTGATTTTTCCCCTTAGTGAGGAAAATTGTTCACTGTCTCCCTTGTTGTCCAATTATCAGAATTTTCCTCTGTTTGATTTACACCAGCTGCCATCATAGACTGATCTTTGACAGCCGACCCTGGAAGCAATCTCTGTCATGTGTCAAGAAAGCCCAACACCACAGCTGCCTCAGAA